AGCCGTGCCCACTGCCCGGGCCCGGGCCGCCGCCGGCCCGCCCTTCTCGGCCCTGATCCCGAGTTGCCTTCGGAAGGTGGAACAAAATGGCGAAACCTAACATGGCCGTTCGGAGTTGGTGACTCCAAAATAAACAGCGTGTGTCCTTCCCTCCCTGCAGACCGGGTGTGCCAGCAGCCGGGGCTCTCCCTCTGGGTCCCCTTCCAGAACGCCGCCACTGCGGTCACCAACCTCTACAAAGGTAAGGGGCTGCCCCCGCTGCCCCGGCGGCCCTTCCCAGAGCCGGGCCCCACTCTGCCTCCTGCCCCGGCTTACTCATAAGCAGGGCCTGTTAATGCCTCTTATTCACCCTGATAAAATCTAACCCAAGGCAGCTTCCTGAATCTTGCAAGTTTTTCCCTGGGCTGCTTTAGCTGACGGTAGCTGAATCTTTTCTGTTGCCTCATGTCAGTGACTAATAGCTTAAAAGCTGTTTTACTTAGAGATCCTTGAAAAAGGATGTTTTTCATGTGAGACGCACTCTCATGTTTTTGGGGAGGGTGTGTGGTAGTTTATTAAACAATACTTTGGTGTCCTGGATTTGTGTATTTTGTGGCTTATCAAATGTTGGGTTATCAGTATAAGACATGTAAATTTGCAGCAGAGCATCGGTAGGGCTTAATGGTTGTAATATTTTGTGTAGCTGTTATGTGACAAGAAGTTTTATCTTCTTCTGACAGACTTCTTAAGTAAGCCTCCCAGTTTATTTTAAGCACTAGAATGTCATTATGACTGTCCAGGGTGGCTGTAAGAAAACAGTGTTAGCCATAACTTTGATAAGAGTGCACGCTGTATGTGGTTGTGCTGTTTTGCTGTTTGTCTCCGTTTTGTTATCCTCTGTTTCTGAACTCTGCTGTTCTTTGGGTTGAACAGAGGAATTCTTGTCTCCAGAAGGATCAAGTGATTTCCAGTTTGGTTAAAAGACTGGGCAGAAATGATGCCTATGTCAAGGGAGGCTTTAATTGGTACAGTGTCATTCCCATTGTTGCTGTTTTCTATTCCTAGGAAGAAAGAAACTTAAAAGTTCCAAGTTTGATTTTTTTTTTTTGAGTTATGGGTGTGTCTTTTTTCCCTTTCTCTGTACAGCATTATCTGTAGTTCTGCCTGCATGGTCTTTGTCTCCAGTTTTCTCAGTTTGCATTTACTTGAAGCAATTGACATTAGTAAGATGTTGGTGATGGCTGATGCCATTTCTGACAGATATGGAGGAAATGTAGCTATGCAGCAGTTGCTGCCAGAGACCTGAGTTGCAGAAAGTGCCTTTGAATGTTGTGTGTGTGTCACAGGTCACTAAACAGGGCAGGTGTTGGTCTGAGGGAGTGGGACACTGGACATGGTGCTAGAGTAGCAGCAGGTAGTGTTAATGAGCTGTCTGGAAAAACTACAGCCTTTTTTACAAATGGCATTGCTCTGCCTGACAGCATCTTTACTGCAGAGACGGGCTCTTTATTTTGGTTAGATTATTTGATTACTTGTGCTATAGGCAAAATGAGCCATATTTTTCTGCAGTAATGTGATTAACAGAAGAGTATGTACGTGGAGATCAGGGAAACCAGAATTTCAGTAGGAAGCTGTATTTAATCGGGTAATATAATACTTCAAAAGGCAGCACCTGAAACAAATCTTTGCCTCAAACAGGACTGCTATCTTTCCATTTGAATTTAATGTCCAAGTGGGTAGAAATTTGTTGAGAATGCAAGTAGAGCCAACTAAAGACTGACATACCAGGCATGGTGGAGTCTCTTAATGGGAATATGCCTTAGCTACTGAAAAGCATGGCTCTTTAAAAATCTCCTCTTGTTTCTCACATACTCAGTAATGTTTGTTTTGAAGGGCTCTGTCAAAACACTGGAGAAGTACTTGGTGTGGTAAACTGAACATGACAAACTGCTTCTTGCCCTGTCAGCTGTTTTCTGATTTGATAAGTGTTTGGATTTTTGAAGCATCAAAATTAGTTTTAACAAGAGCTACATGAAGAATAGTGCATAGGGAGAATGCCACTATCTCTTCAATGTCAGCATTTTCCTGAAAGTGGATGAGAAGTTTAATATCACACCACACCATGAAGGTCTTGGATCACAAAATTGATTGGTGCTTGTGATAGAGGCTGCAATTAAAGACATTTGAGTGTCTTCCAGATTGCACTTCAGAAGTGAAGGCATGGCTTGTAGTACAGGATTTAGAACTTAAGGCCCCTGTAGGAAGTTTTAGGCATATATTAGAATAAGACTACTGAGCCTATGTTTTACCTTATTTTTATAAAAAAACCCCATGAATGTTTGCTGATGTTGGTCTTGACTGACTTCAGAACCTATGCAACTTGAAAGCTTTTTTTTGCCAGCTTACCTTTGTAAACAAAGTAGTTGTAGCTTTTACCATAAAACTGTTTCCCAGGGTAGTCACACTTGAAATTTTTCCAGACTACATCAGCACTCAGTGTTTGACTTCATAACTAGTTCATGGCTAGTCCTTTGCAAAGTGTCCCTGTATTCAAGGGAAGCATGATATTGACATAAATTGGGGCTCATCACCTCTCAAAAAGACTTTCTCATGGTAGTTCTGAAAGTGATTAAAGGAATATCGTTTCCAAACTGATTCCAGAGTGTTTGGTAGCTTTTACTGTGAGTGCATTGGAGCCTAGGCTGCTGTGCAGTATAAAATGGCTGGAGGCATAATCTGTCATGTTGCCATTGCTTTCACAGGAATTAGCATTTGTAAATCTTCTAGCCTTTTGATTGCAAAGCAGCATAGGAAAAATACTTTGAGTGCCTAAAAGTCATGAACATGTTCACAGTACTCTGTGTATACTTGTGTAGCTTAAGTTCCAAAAGCCCCAATTTAACTATAATCAGTTTGACATGTTTTTCTTTTCTGGTAAGTTGTTTTGTTTGAAGTGCTGCTGTTCAGTAGTGTAGATTTTGGTGATGGCTTTTGTGGATGGTGCAGTGATACCTAGAATACAAGTCTAAGAACAGCATTTAATAGTGATTATTTTGGTTTTTTTTGGGTATGGCAAAACTAGATTAGATGATGTATGTCACTGTATCTATAAATCAGTATATTGGACAGCTGTTCTTAAGGCTCTTAATATTGTTCTAGGCAAATGGCTTTTACAGAGGACTTCATTAATGAAGCCAGAATATAAAAAGTGGTTATAATCAGCTCTTTTTTTTTTTTAAATCTATGGAAATCAGGTAAATGTAACTGAGTGGATATGTTGATGTCTTAATGGAGCAAGAGTAACATAGCAGTAAGTTTCATGAAACTGAAATAGCTGCTGGCAGAGCCCTAGTAACAGATCTATGACAAACAAGATGAGTGTAATTGTGTAGAGAACAGGATTTGTCCTGCCTGTTACTGTTGTCTGAAACTTTACTCAAACTAGAAGCTAGAAATGTACTTGCTGAAGTTTGAAATCAAGGTGAGGCATTTAAGTGTTTTTTTTGGAGGCACAGTTCTGCTGTACACAGCTTGCCAGTTACATTGATGGAGAATGAAATTGTGTTTTGGAGTAGGATTAATTGCAAATGTGTTTAAAGCTTTTGTATATCAAATTTGCAAAGGGATCTCAAATGGGGAAGGAAATTTTCTTAGACTTTATCATTGGTGTGTTGCCTAACTGGAAGACATTGGGGACACTTGTGTTTACTAGTTTAAAAACTATGGCCTCTGCAGTTGAAGTTCAGATGAAGCTAGGAGGACTCTAAGGAAATTGAGTTTTCTGAAAATTCCTTATCTAGAAGAGTCAAGAAGAGCAGTTATTCCTTTTTTTTTTTGGTGGGGTTTCCTCACTGTACTGGTGCATTTTAAGTGTCTTTTCAAATGCATTGTCTTTTGGAAGTACCCTCCTCAGACCATCTCTGTGTTTTTACTGTTAATGCAATAGGATTTCATAAACAGTGCAGTAGGGTTGACTTGCAGTAAATGCTGTGGTGTTTGAGTTGCTCTTGACTTTGACTTGTAAAGGAAGTGGAACTTTGTAGCTAATCTTCCTTTTAGGTTTAGTGGGACTCCTCTTCAATGCCACCTACTTTGTTGCAGCTCACTTGGTACTGCTTTAGGGTAACCTGGAGAAGCTGTACTTTCCCGTGGCTGGCTGGCAGCTGTGTCAGATGTTCCATACTGTACGTAGCTCTCTCTGCAACACTAAACTTTTTTCTCTCTCCTTGCAGAAAGTGTGGATGCCCATCAGCGGAGCTTTGATGTAGGAATTCAGATTGGCTATCAGCGTCGGAATAAGGATGTGTTAGCTTGGGTTAAAAAGCGCAGAAGAACTATTCGTAGAGAAGACTTGATCAGCTTCTTATGTGGAAAAGTTCCTCCTCCAAGAAATTCTAGAGCTCCCCCAAGACTGACTGTAGTATCCCCTAACCGAGCTACTTCAACAGAAACTAGCTCATCTGTAGAGACTGATTTGCAGCCCTTCCGTGAAGCCATAGCTCTGCATGGTAACAGTCATTTTTTTCAATTCTACTTGGTTAAGATTGGGTGGGGATTCCTAAAGCATGTCTGGCTCTTGGCCATTACTGTTGGTGTCATGTCATGGACCTGAAGTTCCAGCTGAAGGTATCTCCTCCATTCTTTAAGGGAGTTTCTGTGTATAGAGGACACGTTAGCTACTAAAAAGTTGCATAGACAAATATTTTGATTATTGTATATAGGTATTGTATAAAAATGTGGCTTGGATCTGTAATATTCTGCAGCTTTGAATTAACAATTTGTAGTCTTTTTGAAGCAGAAAGACTTGGCATTCATTCCAATGCTAAAGTAAACTGAATTCTTGGCAAATGATAAAACTGTGCTAGAAAACAGTAAAATATTAAGATTTGGCTGGTAGCAAATAACTAGCAAGTTCTTGTGGGGTTAGGGGGGAATTTAATGCCTGAAGCTTCTCTGGGGTACACTAGTACCCTTGTTGTTATGCACTGGATAATACAGGTTAGCATTCTGCTTGGAAGTACCCTGGAAAGGGTGCTTCACTTGCACATCTTTCAATAACTGAGTCCTCTTTAGCACTCAGTTCTGGTTTGTGTTCAGTCTTGAGTGTCTTCCAGTGTCATACTGAATTTCCTTCCTCGCCCCTAACCAACCATGTTGGTGGTGCATCTTTCCTCCTTTTCAGATATGAATATTCTGTATTGAAGCATTACCTAGCAAGTGATAGAGAGAATTGTTTTAAATTTCTCCTGAAGTGAAAGAAGCAGTTCACTTGTGGGGTTACCAATACTTGCCTTGGCACTGTCAGTGAGGGGCCACGGTCACAGCAGGTTAGGAGTTGGAATTAATGAGTTAATTAGATGAGTGGATTCCTGAAAATGCAGTCTTTGCTTCTGCCATGCTTTGGTGGTTTTTCAAGATGCATAAGCCAGACACTGTTACTGTCTAGGTGACAGCATAATTCTGGTATTGTTTTCTGCTCTGTTGCCATTTAAATCAAGCATGCTTCCACTCAGTCATGTAGTTTTTGGCAGTTTTCCTTCTCATTGGGTGCTGGCTAGAGAATTCTGTGCACCAGTCTTGTTTATTTGGTAGATAAAGTTAATTTCATGAGGAGAACTGCAGAGGCTGGCTCTCACCTGATATGTGATAAACACCCTTTGAAAAAGTCTTGGTTTCTGAGGCTGTAGTTGAATCCACTGTGCAGTTGGCTTTGACTACAAGGCTTACCCTCAGATGACAGTAAGCTAGGTAGGCTCCCTTCAGCACAGCAAGCTCTGCTGAGTAAACGTAGAGGCATTTGTGTTGGTAACCTGGCTCTTTTCAATGTCCTTGTATAGTTTCTTAGCATCTGCTTTGTGTAGAGGTGGCTTATGGAAGTTATTCTCTATAGCATGAGAATTTGAACCATGAGGTATGGACCTCCCTGTTGTATTCATGCCCAGTACAGGGTCATGAGGACTGTAGGAAGCTCTCTGAATGGGCACTGCTGGGGCTAGAAGTGTACTCTTCCTCTTCATCAACTGGCTGACAAGATTCCATGTCAGTCACCTGGATTAGGGCTCTCCTGATAGAGGTTTCAGTCTGGTCTTTGACACACATGCTTTTCTGCTAATCCTTTGGTGGCCAGGCTGGTAGTTGGCCTCATAACGGTTTTTAGGTTACTGCCTACAATGTCTGCA